AGAATCCACCAATCTCTTTGGCTCTGTATTCTCACGGAAAAGGGGAAAAAAAAAAAGAAAAAAGAAGAAGAAGAAGAAGAAAACAAAGACAAAGTTGAAGATATGGTAAGAGAAATGGCGTTGGTTGAAATTAAAGGATGGTTATTCTATGACACTTGATTGTCGGGATGATCTTTTAAAATATTTATTACTACTACTAGAGTCTAGAGAGTGAGAATACGTCCAAAAGCATCTTCGGCGATCTCCCTTATTTATTTATTTTTTAACGTAGTCGACGGACACAAAATTGTCTCTTCTACAGAGAGAGAGAGAGAGCGAGAGAGAGAGAAGGATCGAAATATGTGATGGAAACTCACCAGCGTAAAAAGGATGGAGTAGTAGTAGAAATTATTATTAGTAGATTTTGCATGTCCACTCCAGACTAGAGAGATTGTAATATGATAATGACGCACGGAAACAACGGGACCGTGATGTCCGCCTCTTGCATGTGCCCCCTAACATGGTAGGCCCTCCATACTATTTCCTAGTATTTAGATCTCCCAATCACCCCCTTTTCGGCTAATTACTAATTAAACCTTCTCCGGTTCAAACCTAATCTCACGCTAACCAGTATTTGATTAGATATTGCAAGAATAATAATAATAATAATGGTGGTACCTCTCCCCCTTTTTGGATTTTTGTGGGTCCACTTTTCGGTCAGTCACTGATGATGAATGACAGCATTAATTAATCATTCATCACGTAACACACAAAATCACGATTAAGAATTGATCATTGCACGTAATAATAATTATACTACAATCGATAATTGCACACTTCACCACAAATGGCACACTTTCTGTCTAACCACGTGTGCTAAACGATACAATAATGTGGCGGTTACCAATAACAGCTAGAAAAATTTGACATTTTGGACTTTTTGTGCATCTCATCTGATTGTGTTCAAATTCCGCTTAAAAGTCCTAATCCCATACCAAATCTAAAAACAAAAAAAAGAATTCTGATTAAACCGACCCTATCCTCCGGTCCATCATCCTACTTGGTTTTTTTATTTACTAACTACAAGTCTAGGGTATAAAACTAATTACAGCTTTTATACTACTGGTCTGGAACTAACGTAAACTATGGAAGGAAACTTGTCAGCCTTCACTTTCATCGTGTCATAAAAATATGAGGATTTTTTTTTTTTACATTTTCGAGAGAGACATATATAATTAATGACTGGTTTCTTGGTCGAATGCATTCTGGAATTGTATCCAAATCAAATGTGAGTATTGTGATTTTCGAGTCGGTCAGAAATCTGCCAGTCAACCATTTTTTTTACCCTTGCTAATGCTAGCTACCGCTGCTGGACTCGGAGAAAATGAATGAATAACGAATCTTAAGAGTCAACAAAAAGTGTTTCAACATTCAACAGCCAAACGTTCCACGCAACCCACTAACTGACTGGCGCGATTTCAGGCAAATCTATGTAATATATATCAGCGGGAAAATATATCTGTATTCACATGAAGCAGGAAAACTAATAAAACTTTTTTTTTTATTTTTATTTTTGAGGATATCATCCATATAATTAATGAAAGAAAATTGGGGGATGGAAAAGAAAAGAAAGAGTCGGTTGAGAAATGCATGTGCATGTAGGGCCATGGAGCTTCAGCAGTTGGTAGTTCAAGTGGAACAAGTGCATGTGCATTACCAGTCGTTGTATGCTGTTACTAATAAATTACTTAAAAATTTATCACACATGACACAACTCTATAGACTAATACTACTATTCCTTTCTTTCTTTCTTTTGTGTATTGATTGGCCTATTCTCCGACGTGACCGCTGCTCTAACATGTCATTTTCTATTACTACAACCAAATATTTCTTCCAAATATATGCAAATGCCCGTATCCCTCCCACCATGTCACCACCTCCAAATCCATTTTCCACCTTCGATTTTTTTCCTATATAAAGAGGCCACCATTTCCCAAACGTTGTACAAACCAAACAAGCACTTCCTCCTAGCTCCCCCAAATCACCTCGACCCCCTTCCTCTCATTTCTCTTCCAATTCCGATGGCGTTCTCCTCCTCCTCATCTCCTCTCTCCTTCTTCTTCTTTTTTATAGTAGTTGTAACTAGTATGTGCATTCCTACAGCTTTTGGGGACTATGGAGGGTGGCAAAGCGCTCATGCTACTTTCTATGGAGGGGGTGATGCTTCTGGCACAATGGGTACGTGTCCCCTTGATAAAACTTCTGATTCCACAAATTAATTATAGTAGTAGTATATTTGTTCTTTCCTTCCTTTTACATTATTGCCTTTTTACACATCATTATGACTTTTATACGACCAAAAAGTATGTAATAATAACTAATAAGCATCATCATTCTTTTATACTCGTGACCTTCTCAATAAGTAAAAAAAAATATTAATTTTAGCCTTCTCAATAAGTAATATTAATTTTGGTTGGTCAAATAATGCGTGCAGGGGGCGCTTGTGGATATGGGAATTTGTACAGCCAGGGCTATGGTACGGACACTGCAGCACTAAGCACTGCTCTATTCAACAATGGATTGGCCTGCGGGTCATGCTACGAGATCAGATGTGATTCTGACCCAGAAGCATGCCTACCCGGAACCATTACCGTCACGGCGACAAACTTCTGCCCTGCTAACCCTGCTCTGCCCAATGATAATGGTGGGTGGTGCAATCCTCCCCGCCAACACTTTGATTTGGCAGAGCCTGCTTTCCTGCAAATTGCCCAGTACCGCGCTGGAATTGTTCCCGTCGCTTTCCAGAGGTATAAATAATTTACCAAAATGTAAAAAGGAGAAAACAAAAAAAAAAGGACGTAGTGGTATCACGACGTAGTGGTAGTAGTGTTTTGGCTGATAAATGTTTCTGCGATTCTTGACAGGGTACCGTGCAGTAAGAAGGGAGGAGTAAGGTACACGATAAATGGACACTCCTACTTCAACTTGGTCCTGGTTACCAACGTTGCTGGTGCTGGGGATGTTCATACTGTCGCAATCAAGGGGTCTAGAACAGGGTGGCAATCCATGTCAAGAAACTGGGGCCAAAACTGGCAGAGCAATTCCTACCTGAATGGCCAGACTCTTTCGTTCCAAATCACCACCAGTGATGGCAGAACACTCACCAGCTACAATGTTGCACCTGCAAATTGGCAATTTGGGCAAACATTTGAGGGGGGCCAGTTCTAAATTTCAGAGAAAGTGAAGCTTTTGATCGACGGATAGTGATTGTTGGTTTCCACCGTCTTTGAAAAACAATATTAATATTAGGCTTTTCGTTTTGTTTGTATATGGCATTATAAAAAGGGTGTGTAGGTTTGGAAGAGGAGGTTCAGGGCTTTTGGCTCTATTGCTGTGGTGGCTGGTTAAGCACCCGCTTAGGCCTACCTATATAGCGCGACATATTTAATCCATCATATAATAGGAGTGGATTTCATATATATGTTTAGGTTCTTTTTCACATTTTTTTTCCCCCACAAGTGATATTCAATCGGTGGCTATATAGAATGTAAGCCGGTTGAAGCTTGTAGGATTAAGTGCAATTGCCGGATTGAGGCAGGCAAATATGATTGAATTATCTTTTTCTTCGCTCAACAGTCAAGGCTCTTTTCATAAGGTGGAAATTGACACATTGGATCGAAAGTCCAATTAATAAGGAACAGTTTCTTTGGTGCGAGAGTAAATGTTTAGACCCAGAAGTGTGGCTTCTTAATTGCATTCTATGCGGGCGTAACAAGAAGGATTAACAGTGCAAAAGCACCTCCTTCCTTAGTCATTGCTCCAAGGCAACCTCACAGAGTGAAGTGAATGGCCTGCCTGCCCATGTGATTTGGTCTGTCTCCTCTTCGGAACTTTCGCGGGCCAGATTTGAGTACCCTTTTACCGGCTAGAAAGTGTTCTGGGATTCAAAATATTGCTTGTTAGGCTACATAATCATTAACCATTCTTTCATGGTGCAAAAAGTTGGAGGGCGCAAAAAGTTGGAGGGCCCTAGACAATTATGGTACCTCTAATCTACAGTTCTTCTACTATTTGAATAGCCTAATTCATTTATGATTTTTTTTTTTTTTTGGGTTCAGAACGCATGCTATTTGGTGAGAAACCAATTCCATGTGCATGTTTTTCGTGAACTGTAACCTGATTGATCACTTGCAGTTGCAGGCGCTCTACACCTACTTACATTTGGGCGGGCGTCCTTCAGTTCTTGTTTATGTTGAGCATGGTAAAAAACATCACATCACTATCGAGCGATTTCTTTCTTTTCTGAAAACCCATATATGACAAATTGAAAAGATAGCGTGCAAGAAACTTCTCTGTATCGTTCCAATTTAATCGGATGTTCCCGAAGGGACACCGTGCAAGAAACTTCAGTTACAAACTCATATATTCCCTTCCACTCATTGAAAGTATTATACTTTTTCATTTTAACATTAAAAAAATCAAAACAATTTTTAATCTTTTTTTCCAATATATCTATTTTTTCTAATCATATGGACGTTATTATTCAAATTTAAAATTTTTGATATTAAGCATATTTAGGACAATTAATAGAAATTCAATATTGACTAATAATCAAAATCTAATTACCATTAGTCAACAATTTTGATTTTGCACTTTAGTCCGTAATGTTTGGAATTTAAATCATTATAGCCTCATAAAATTTAAATAGTCGTATTGAGACTTTAGGAATGAAGTGAGAAGCGAATTAGAATAAAATTCTGTAAAATGGATAATAGGAATACGAATTAAACTTCCTTTTTTTATTTTTCTTATTGTATTGCATTTATTTATACCACTAATTTCTCATATCCTTCTCTTTTGTATAGCTGTCTCAAATTTGGTTCAATATATATAATTATTGTTTTACACTAGTCAATAATTAGTGAATAATAAGTTATGTTATTTCTTCACTGCCAGTGATAAATAAACATCCTGCTTAAATATCCTTTTAGAATATGAAGAATATATATTATAAATAAATTAAGGTTGAAACTATAAGAAAAGATTTTGAGTTCAAATTCTGCATCCTCCTCTCACTCACTGTTTCTTAAATCCCATCCCTCGCTAAAAATACCAAAAAAAAAAAAAATTTTATTGAGCAAACAAAGTATCTGGGAGTTGTTGCATTTACTGTACTTAAAAATCAAAACCCATTTACCACAATACCACACCCACGTTATTGTATTGCGTGGTAGAGTTTTATTTGTTGGTCCAGTGAAGTTGAGTGGTCGGGCTATGCCCAATACATCCCTAGTGGAAAATTGTACTAATAATTATAGAAAGGGTTGCATCCCACCCGAAAAGTCAATGTAGAGGGTCAACCAGTCAGCAGATGATTTCCTCCTCTTCGGTCGCTCTCTCTTCTATTACTGCCACTATTTCTATGAGACTGGCGAGTTCCACTTCTGGATTATTCCTTCGACTTTTCTCTTCATCGTCCTTAACTATCCCTAGAAACCCCCGTTATTTACAATTTCACCAGGCCAGGTGGAACCTGCCTCATAGGGGACCTTTCTTCGTTGCTCAAATCCCGATCAGGCCCTTTAGGGTCATTTTGAACGGAATGGAGCAGAGCAGTGTCGTCGCCAACGGGGGTGGATTGAGCTCCGCTAGGGTTTCAACACTGTCAAATGGCGGAGATAACAGCAGCGAATTAGTCAGTTTCCAGCTGTCTCCTACCTGTTCCCTCGAAATTCAGAAAGGCGATATCACGCAGTGGTCAATTGATGGAGCCTCCGATGCCATCGTAAGTTATATTCTGCAATTAACCTAACCAAATTTCTTCTTTACAGCAGAAAATGCTAGGTAATAGTACGTAAAGTGATTGGGCATACATTAGAGTTTTTTTTCCCTTTCGTTTTTTTTTTTTCCATTTCTGATTGAACTGGTTTAATTAGGTTAATCCTGCTAATCAGCTAATGCTTGGAGGTGGTGGTGCTGATGGAGGTAAGTTATGTTGTCTGTGCGGATTACATGCAGTGTGAAGTTGTGATCCCTGCCATGCATAGCTTGTAATTTGTCCTTTTGTAATCCTTAAGTTGTTTTATAGCCATACATCGAGCTGCTGGTCCAGAACTACGAGATGCGTGCTATCAAGTTCCTGAAGTCCGACCTGGAGTCCGCTGCCCTACTGGAGAAGCAAGGATTACACCGTAATGCATTGTTCCGTTCCCTTCATTTTTTCCCTTTTTTGGTCCATTGGATTGTAGATTTCCTCGACCTTATTGTTGGATTGCTAACAAATGGTGTATTGCAGTGGTTTTAGATTGCCTGCATCTCATGTGATTCACACTGTTGGACCCATATATGATGTCGATGGAAACCCTGAGGCTTCTTTGGCAAATGCATATAGGTACTGTGTTTTGTATGCTGAACACACCACAACTTTATTTGAAACCTTATTTCTAACCTTGTTTAACAATTTTCCATCTGTTTATTGGAACTTGTTGCAGAAATAGTCTACGCGTAGCTAAAGAGAACAATATTCAGTATATTGCTTTCCCAGCCATATCATGTGGGGTATTCAGGTAAAGTTGGCATTTTGGGTTTCCTGCTTCATCTTGAGCGCTCAGATAATTAGTCTAACTTCTTTTTTCAAAATATCATTCAGGTACCCCTCTGATGAAGCTGCCTTTGTGGCTATCTCTACGGTCAGGGAATGTGCTGATGGCCTCAAAGACGTACGCCTATTTTGAGTTAACTGTCTTATTGTGTTTCTCTACATTTTGTGCATTGAATTACAAATTTGGTTGCAAAAGACTGTACAGTTCTTTGGTTGCTTACCAGGTGATAGGTCAAAATGAAAAGATAGTATGCACATAAAAGGTGACCAAGATGAGTACATTGTAGAAGATGGATCTACTTAATTTAAAGGGATAATTTCAGAAACCTCCCTTGAGGTTTTTGACAATTTTACCTAGCACCCCTCTAATTTTGAAAATTACGCTAACCTCCCTCGTCAATTTGATGGGACAAAGTGTCATAATTAGAAGGCCCAAATTGTCTATAGTACCTTTAGTGAAACAGTTTTTTCAAAGCAAGGTGATTTTGCAAAATATTAGTTCTTTATTTTACTCAAATACTATTCATTTTACTAAAACAATCTCTAATGGAAGAAATAACATTTTGTACCAGCAAAAGTATATCTTGTGTATATTGTTTTGGCTCTTGGAAACTCATAATGTTGCTTTATGACCATAACTACAAATGCGAATGTTGATCCTCAAGTATGTTGCTGGTTGAAATGAGTTCTCTCTATGGCTTGCCATCATGCTTTGAAGAACTGTTCTTAGGCCTTTAGTTTCTTGGCTTGCTGCACTTAAAAGCTAAGAACTTATTTACCTCTTAATTCAGTAGGAAAAGGCATGTTAATTTTAGTTGCATCTCCTGCCTTTTTCATCCAGTTCCTCACCGGAAACAATGTTGCATTGGCAACAGTTATATTGGGCCTGACAGTCAACAGATATGATACTTACTCATTCTAATTTTTCTACTAAAAGGGTTGGACCAATTTCTGATTTTTCTTCATTTTGTATTCCAAATTTTTAGGTATATTATGTGCCATAATTTATTGTGAGAGCTTTAAGGGTAATTTCAGAATGGTGTTTTTCTTAGAATTTCCTTTAATTTTTTTGTTCACTTTTTCTGACAGGGGGTAAATTTGTAACCAAAAACCATAAAGTAAGCAAGGTCAGTTTAATTTTTGTCAAATTAAAGGTGTGCTGGGTGAAATTATCAGAAACCTCAAGGAAGGTTTCTGAAAGTATCCCTAATTTAAAAGATAGCAACTGGAGATGAGTAAAAGTATAGAATGTCATATTTGATTGAAAGCAATGGCTTAGTAGTATTCTTTGATTTGTCATGATGAATGATATTGTTCAGCCACTTAAAACAACTTTTCTGTTGAGAATTGGATTTCAGACTCAATCCTATTGTTCCACGTTCGAGTTTTTTCTCCATCATATTAGTACAAACAGGGTATTAGAACATTTTCACCTCTCCTCCAGTTTACATGCCTTGACCAATAAATTTTCTTTTCTCAGTTGTCAAGTGTCAAAAAACTTAGCTTATGGTGTTCCAGAACTTCACCAACTATTACTTGCTGTTTAGCTAATCTTTGTTTGCTTTTGCTGGGAAACTGCTCTGAAAGATCAAGCGAAGATTATTTAATTACTAATTCAATGTGGTTCAAGAGCTGAGGTGTAGAGTTTGAGATAGCAAATCTATGGGCCATGCCATGATTAGAAAAATAAAAATGGCCTTGGAACCAAAAAAGTAGGAATATTGTCTCTCCTTAGTAAGTTGCCAACTAGATGATGATATGTTGAATAATTACTGCAATCATCAAATAGTTGGCAAAAAGAACTATATTTAGTGGTAAGAAAAGATATATCTATTTCATCTTTGGGAACATAATTTTGCTTAGACAGTTTCGTTTGCGCATGTGCTATTACAGTCCCAAAAATAAGATCACTTTTCAGAATTTGAAAAAAATACGACAATGGGGTTAGATATAGGGGCATGCTTGCTTACAGGCAAGCTCACCGTTATCTTTTCCTGACTCTCTGCTTGTATCTGTGAAGGCTGCTCAGAATTTGATGCCATTCTTCATTCATTTTCAGGTCCACTTTGTCTTGTTCTCAGATGAGATTTACAATGCTTGGTCGAAAGCAGCCAGAGAATTGCTTTCAAATTCATGAGCCGGTGGTTTGATGATATGGTTATGAGGCATCTGAGCTGTCTTGCATCAGTCTCTAAAAATTATTCCAAGGTTCATGGGCTATTTGCTGAGGATATTAATGATCAGTTTGCGAATAAATTTCCAGGAGCATTGTCGAAAAATTGGTGGCTTGTATTTAGAACTTTTGGTTTTTGATAGGGGGCAAGGAGTGTGTCTAATGTAGCATGATCTATCTAAAAACTCATGGCTTCTTGTGCATATGATAATAATGCTCGTGTGGCATTTTGCGTTGACATCATATCGAATCCTAGAAACCGGCCATCTCTGTGTTTTCAAGTGGTGGTAATTCTGAAAGATGAGAAGCCCACTTTCAGAATTGGTCCAAAGTCGAAGCTCTTGAGCAATTTCAGAGTTCATATCATATGATCCTGTTTTTGAAGTCGCTTATATATAAGCTGGTAAATTTTCGCAAACGATTAATCATGTGAGGCTAAATTGCCAGCCTGAATGGCTTCTTCATAGCACCCTGTATTTGTGAATAAATCAGAATTTCTCGCAAATTGCCAAGTTCCATGACCAGTAAAGTAAGCAGGATTAACAAGCTGGAGAAGATAAGATGGACTTCGTAAGATTGGCATGCCCGGATGTCTGCGGACACACATTCTTGCAACACTTTGAAGGATAAAATATCAAATAGAATGAGCAAAACAAATGTGAAAAAAATACCCAAAATCCAACAAAGCAAAAACGACGACAAGGCTTAGATACGGGATACATATTCGCAATTAACTGGTCTTGAATGCAGCATGCAACTTCACAACCAACTGGGCTTTGTTTCGTTTTCGTGTGTGCGTGCATGATTCTTAACGCTGGAAAAGCTGAAACCGGGAAACTTTGTTGTTGGTAGATTAAACCAAGGCAAAATTTCCATCTTTGATCGTACCAAAATTGAGGAGACCCTGCTACAAAAGAATCTTGCTATCAAAACTTGTCCAGTCTGGATGGCCAAATTCTACAAATCTTTGTGCCTACGCAAATTCCGGGGTATTCTGCTAATGACACTCTCATCCACTATCTTATAGTGCTTTGAAAATTTTTGGTGGATCACTCCAGCGTACCTATCCACACGGTCTTCAAATTTGTCGTATAAAGCAGGAAGTGTAATAAAGATAATGGTTCCTGTCATCAATGCAAATGCAAAACTATTATCAACCACATCCTCCTCCATTCTTAAAGGTGAAAGTTCATCATAGCACAATATTCATCATGACATAAGAAACACAACAGTAATGTAACCCACAGAGGTCAGAATCTGTAATCAAATTGCCAAAGGGAAACATTTTGTCAAGAAAGTGAACATAAGATTCCAAAAGAACGTGAAAACCATCCTAGACTCCATAATCATTTCTCTCTGCCATTAGCTCCTCCTCATCCATGAGACCAACCCAACCAACCAACACACTGAAACAAGGGTGAAAATGGAAAAGGAGAAGCCAAAAAACGAAAATGGACCCAAAATGTCCGCATACATTTTACAAGTCATGCCTATAGTGCTAACTATATTCTTCACATGCTTACTACAGTTTGAAACTTTGCCACAAAATTTCAATCTTTTCATTCAGAAGTGCATGATGGCCATAAATAAACATGATCCTTATAGTCTAGAAGAAGCCAAGTTGGTACAGCCGCATTGGCACAGCTGGTCAGTGGTATTCTAAATGAAACCAAGAAAAGCACAGGAATTTAAATCACTACAAAGAGTTCAAGCATCCAGTTAGCAGATGGTTAAAATTATGTACCTATATATGCCAAAGTGCAGAATGATATTAAGCTGCCAATCACTGACAAGAGCCACAAAGCAATCACCACCTGCAAATTTTCCAAGAAGTTTAAATCCAAGATAACAGACATAAATATTTGGATGGAAGATTCCAAATGCAAGTAGGAAATGAATCTGCAGGTGAGTAATATTTGTCTATTTTCTGTGACCACTTGGAAGTGTTAGAAAGCTTCCCTAGTCAAACACTCCACAACAACCAACCTTGAAAAAGACTCTGAAATCTTTGCCAAGGGTGATATCATGGGCCATAAGCAGCATGTAATTGACTTTAGCACGAAATGATGCAGCAGCATTATTCACCATTTCTTCTGACAAGACGAGCTCAGGCAAGGATTGCAGTTGTCTGTGAGAAAGAAAAAGGAAAGAGTTAACTTGATTTTCACACTTAAAGCAACTAGAAAATGTGAAACTGATATTGGTGAAGGTTATAGCACCTTTCCCTAAGAACAGCATAGTTAGCTCGAAGAAACCGCAACACAATCAGGATCAGCAAGATATCACAACAAACTGATAGGAATGACAACCCAGACCGCTCAAACAAAAACCATGCAACAGTAGCAACCATCATTAATCCACATGAGACACGCCTCCGCCTCCATAGTATAACATCAGCAGCTGCAGTAGTAATAACAATTAGTGAAACCTTTGAACAAACAAGACGAATATGCACAGAGATGGCAAACAGGGAAATAAATGTCTAACAGTATCAAGAATCAGATAAGCATATCCATGTCTCCCCAATTGTTGGATTACCAGCAAGAATCGGCTCACCATTCAGAAAAAGATAAAGGAAAGAAAGAGAAAGGAGACAGGTAGTGTTCATTTCCTTATATGCAAACTGAAACTAAAAGGATCTAAACATACCCTTTCCTAGCAAAACGGAAAGAAGTGACGGGAACCACTGCATGACAAAGAAGGTTGTTTAGCTACGTTAAAAGGAATTAAACATACTGGTTTCCTTTCCCATCTTTTTTGCAGGCTTCTGGGTGAAACCAAAACTTAAGTACATATTGCTTAAGCTATTCCCCCCTTTCCCACCATTTCCTTCCCTTTGCTCGCCAATCACCACAGCCTATCACACTGGAAATTAAATCCAAAATTTTAGGACTCAATTTTTCCAATTCCTCTCAGTTCTTTTCAGTCCAACTTGATCGAAAGACAACACTCCCTTAGGCTTCAGATTTGAGGAGAGTAATGGAGAGAAGAACAATGGATTGAAAAGAAAGCTCACAAAGAATTGAAAAGAGAAGAAACAAAAATAAAATGGAGGGATCAATTCATTTTGCTTTCTTTCCAACTAGGAGGAAACAGGGAGAAAAGAGAAGAAATTAAACTTCCTGTTTTCTGCTTTGCTGTGATCCAGACCGAAGAAAACAGGTTTAACATGTCAAATTACTTAAAAAGCTTCTTAACCTTTCTTTCAAAGCAAAAAATTGGGTTCACAAAAATTCTTCTCTGTTCTTTCTGTTCTCTTCCCATCATAATTTTTTTTCTTCACCAAACTCCCAATATAGAGTAAAGTATTCATTTTCCCTCTCTCCCACAATATTCAAGGTCTAAAAGCTCAAATGTCAATAGGTATATTCACTTCATCCGTACTATGTTTATATCTAAAAATATGCATTCATAGAAAGGAAAATGATCTACAAGATTCAACCACATAATTTATATTCAAATGTCTTTTTTACATAAACACAATTCTCCTTGAGGAATGATGAACCCCATTCTTTAGGAAACCGATTGCCGTTAAACTAAGCATACATTACAAAATATTGTAGTACCAGTAAAATTACATACGGTAGTCATTCCATGTAACAGTGATCCTGCTCATCCACAAACTTCTCCAATTACCTAATTATTTAACTAGAGGAAAAAAAAAAAAAGAAAGAGGACTGTCAGACATGCAAGTCCATCTAGATTTAAGATAGCCAGTATACCAAGTTAGTTAGTTGTCAAGCGAAAAATGTCACCTTCTCCAGCACCAAAGTATCTTATTACTTAGTATAAAACTTTTCTTTGCTCCAAACACGCACGCAAATACAATGAAAATAATTTCTCATGAACATTTCTCGGACTTGGGAAACCAAACGAAACAAAAGAAAGAGAAGGGGAGAAAAGGTGAGAAAAAGAAAAACAGCTGTTACCTTTACCGCCACCCATCATCTGGTGAACGGACCGTTGACGACCGAACAATTTATAGGAAGAACTCGTCGACGTCGACGGAACGCTGTCATGTCTGTTATTTTCATCTCCGTTCACCACTACATCGCATGGATCATCAGAATTCTCCATCAAATTCTCAACTGCACGAAAACTTCTTCAATTCACTAAAAGCTGAACGACTTAAAACTCTGTAGAAAAGCACAAATTTCAAAACCCTGAAGTCAGTCAGAAGTTCAATTTAATCAAACCCACAAATCAGAAAAAATCCGTTGAACCAAACTGAACTATTACTTTTCCCACCTGTAATTTCGTAGAGGATGATCTTTTTATATCTGAAAAAAAGGAGATTAAACAAGGAAGAATGATGAATTACGGAATAATTGGAGAGTCGCCATCATCATCTTGCTATATATTAAGTTTGTTTTGACTCCAGGGAATAACTAAACAAACAAAAAGCTTCCAAGAATTTTCAACTAATCAATCCCGACGTCGTTGTAGAATTTTCAAGTAACTAGAGGTTCAAAGCAAAGGTTAACGACGTCGTTGTAGCCCCACAGTTGACATCGCCACCCTGGCCGTCTCGAAGGTGTTATTATATCGAATCATTGCAAAATGCCCCTTGCACTACTGTCAATTTACCATGTAACACCTATCATATCTTGAATATCAATTGTGACCATTGAGTTGCTCATACCCCATATTTTGTGTTTGGAACGCGAAAAAAAAAAAACTAAAAATGACTTTAATATGATTCCATTGCCCAAAAAGCTCTAATGCGTTCCAAGCCAAACAAAACAAAATGATTACTACAAAAAAAAAAACTAGCAAATGAAATTAGGTTGAATTATCATTTTCATGAAAAAACGCAAATCATTATTTATAAGATAGCGATAGAAGGAAATTACAAATAGGTTAAGACAGATCTTAGTTTTTTTTTTCAATTAATTTGCATAATGGTCACAAATTCACATATTAATTCAATAAAATGCTTTTGCTATTAATTTTCTAGGAGGCAAAAATCAAGTCGATAACAATTCTTAACGACATATGCAATTAACTTTTTATTTGAGATGAGTTTGTCAAGCAAAGTAATATTCTTTCAATATATATATATATATATATGTGTGTGACACGCGTCAGTTTAATTACTTTTTCACCTTTTTAGTTTTTGAAGAAGACAAAGCAGTAGCTTTCATCCGTTAACTTCATCAATATGCCACGAGAAGTTGATAATTCGATGCTCAAAATATTGTAATGGATTGTTCAGGGGACAAATAACAAAATAGCAATAGTTTAGTTTGGAGATTTGTAATTAATCCTTTATTCAACTACC